AAATTAAAAAATTATAATTTATAATATATTATATAATAAATATTATATAATATAATATTATATATTATTTTAATAAATTCATATCCATAGAAATACTAATTAACAATATAAATATAATCAAATAAAATTTATATAATCAAAATATTTTTATAAAATATATAATCAAAATATGCTTATAATATATAATCAAATTTCTTTCCATATGTGTACATACATATTTGGCAAAGCTAGTCTGTAGTTGACTAACCTACAAATGTTTCATGTACAGGACGTAGCAAAATATGGGGCACAAAGCGATTGAAAGTTGTCGAACCGGAAACGTAAAACGACAATTTTAATACGAGGCTCAATCTTCGCGAGAAAAATGAGTTCTTATTGTATTCGTATAATAAGAATTTCATAAACGTGGCTGTCATCAAAGAGCAAAATTGAGGTTAGAATTGTTACGTTTGAGACGCGGAAATTATCGATCGATCTGTTTCGCGATTATTTTATATCGTAATTTTATGTGCCGTATAAATGAGCGTAATTCTCTGTTTACGATGTATTTCTTTTCTACGAAATAAATATTTGTATTTGTTTGTAAGCGTATCTCAAAATTAGTCTCATTTATCAATGTGTATTATATTGATAACGATATTGCATTTAGCTTTTCGTTTGTTTGCGTTCCGAGTAATTTCTCATGATGCGCCTGTATTTTGAAAATTAAACGATAGCATTTTATTTCGCATTTCTCGCTTATTCCTGCAGGTAGAATAACTTGCTGCTGATTATTCGAATTTATGCAGATAGGAATGAGCGAAACGCGTGTGTATACATTATGCGTACTTATAAAAATTTCAAACTCCAGTTTCACGGAAATGACGCCTCGTATTAAAAATTTACCTTCTACATTTTCAATTTACCTTTACTTCTTGTACCGCGTTTTTCGATAGTTTTAAATATTCATTACGCGGGCTTGGCCATTATTTAAATAAAACATTTGAGTAGATGTTATTTTGAAATAATTATGCGCCAGTTTATTCGAACAAGTAAATAATTTTCCTTAAAAGAATCTTAAAATTTAGTTCGTTGTTTAACTATCAAATAACATTTTTTTATTTTATTCCATACTTCGTATTTGGATAAATGTTTCTTGAAATATTGTCTTAAATAATTTCTCATCCAACATTGTCAACTGCGTCAGAAATGCTGCTTTTGCTGTCTCATAGGTCACGCAAAATTAATAAATAATTAATATTAAATATTAATTTAACTAAATAATAAAAGAAATATTAATAATAGAAGGATAATTGTAATTATATGTTTATGTTGTATAATTATATATACATTTCAGAGATTAAATATTACTATGTTATAAAATAATTCACGATTATGCGGTTCATAACTCAACTGTATGCAAAAGATAATATTTTAATTTAATATTAGAATCCAAATTATTTCTTCTATCTGAGAAATTTAACTAAGGTAGAAAATTACTCGAAAATTATTTATTTGATTTAAACATAAAATAAAGTTGTTTCCCCTATGTTGCTTCTAAGATGCAAATAATGAAGTAGATGAAATATCAGGTTGGCAACTAAGTGATTGCGGATTTTTCAACACCATCTAATGACAAAATCCGCAACCACTTAGTTGCCAACACAATAGCTCATTATTTTGGTGATTTTTACGCAGCTACGAAAAATGTAAAAGTGCAAAAATATGCGGAATGCGCATGTCAAAAATACATGAATATTCAATTAGTGAAATTTTTGCTTAGTTTTTTTAGTTGTGTTCATAACATAAAAATTTGCATATGTAAATATCGGATCCGATTGAAATCGCTGACACAGATTTTATTGACGCCAGAGCAACGATAACTTTGACTGACAACCACTGTCATGAAAGTATTAACCGATAACAACAATGGTCGACATAAAGTATAACCAGTTTTTTACTGCAAGCTCGAGCCAAGTACGAGTTTGGTCGAACTCAGCGCTTTTTAGACTTTTTTCTTTCGTGGCTCCATTTCGTCCGGGAAAATTTTACGCGACGCTAACTGTATACGTAAAAATGTAGCACAAAATAAATATACAAACAAGCAATTAATAGATAATAAATCAAAAAAGCTTAATTTTAAACAATGCGTGTTATATTTCTGATTTTATCACTCAGTAGCACTTATTAGGGCAAAACTAAATTTGTTTGTTTAATCTTGATAAATATGCTTGTTTATTTTTGGATAAAAAATTAAATCTTGGCCAAATATTTGATATAACAGAGCATTTTCAAAGTTTCTCACGATTAATCGAAATTTTGATTTCACAATCGTATATATAAACACGTAGCATAAAATGTTATAAATGTGTTTAAAAATATTGTAGAAATTGTTGCAAGTTCTGTTCTAATTCCAAGCCAAAATTCATTTAAATGATTTTTTAAAATCTATGTCGATTAATAATTAGATGAATCCTTGATCCTTTAATGACAGAATCACTGGTATGTGACAGATACAAAAATTGTCATAGCCTCATAATTCTGTTCAACCTATAGCTTAAAAAGCTCTGCTTCAGAATATTGTTCCAATCTGCATTCTGGTTTTGCCAAAACATTAGCCACTTGTGTGATGGTATTAGTTAATAAAGAACCGATTTTTATACTATAATTAACGTAATTGTCTTTACTAACCGATACAATCATACATTTCGCAGATGTACGAGAAAGCTAGAAAATAGACTAACACAATACTTGCATTTTAGTCGAGTTTGCTATAAGCAATTGATCAAGTTCTGTGTCGATCATTGACAGTTCTTAATATATACTGTCATCGGTTGAAGTTACTGTCAGCCAAAGTTGTTGTAGATCAAGTCCATGACCTGTGAATTATTGTTGGTGAAAACAGTATCGATGACTTCATTGGAACGCCAATAATTCACTGGCATCAGACACTTGATCGACATCAGACAGTTGATCGACTGTAGACATTTGATCGACAACAAATACTTCATCCACAGCAGACACCTGATTAATGTCAGACTCTTAGCCGATACGAGGCACTGATCGACACCAGACTTGATCGATACCAAACATTTGACTGACACCAGACTTGAACGATACCAGGCTCTTGATCGACACCAGACTTGATCGATACCAGGCTCTTGATAGATACCAGGCATTTGATCGACACCAGACTTGAACGATACCAGGCACTTGATCAACGACAGTACTAACCGTGACCGAGATACATACTCTCTAGGTAGCTAGGACAAAGCTAGATCGTAGCTTGCTGTAAACAATTGGTTAAACTCTGTGTCGATCATTGTTGTTGTCGGTTAACGCTGTCGTCGATTAAACCTGTTGTTGGTCAAAGCGGTTGTCAAGCAAGTCTGGTGCCGGTGAATTGTCATTGGTAAAAGCAGTGTCGATGAAATCTGTATCAGTAGTTTCAATGGGACCTCAGTAAATATCCACAGTGTACTCATTATTTAAAATCGTTTTTCTCCATCTTCGTTGCAAAGAAATCTTGCCCAAATCTGTAATGTACTCTATAACAGCGTTTGCTAAAATAAGAAATTCATAGGTTCGAAATGAAGAAATTTTATTGGATTATATATATATGTATATCTATATCTATATTGAGAGAACGTAGCATTTGAGAAACGCTATATGAAAATACTTGTTCAGGTCGAAGGGTACGCCG